GTGTAAGGGGGGGGGGTACCCAAAATGTGTAAGATTTTATTTGAACAGCCCCAAAACCACGCTTGTCACACCTGCCCAACGTCAGCGGGAGTTTTAGTTTAAGGACCTGACACATGTGTCAGGGGACACACTGTTTTTGTACACCATGCAACCTCCATGCAGTTGTGGGGTTTTTTGGTACGGTAGACATTCCCATTTAACTTTTGATTTTGATCTAACAAAACTCACGTTGGTTACTTTGATTGCAATATTAGCATACCAACAATGTATTCCAAAAATTCCATGACATTTTAGCTATACACACGTCTTGCAACTTTTCTTGCAACTTTTTGCAACTTTTGCTATTTTCAAATGCAACTTTCTCTGAGGACAGACAATTTCAGTTTTCTGCTGCGCCAACTGCCCTTTCTTGCTCTTCCACAAAGTCAAAGGTTTTTTTTATTGTCAGTGATTGCACCCCCCGTTGTATCCCTCTCAGCCCGGGTTGGCCCTGACAGGCAGGTACATAAGCCCGCGTCCTAAATGACCTAAACTGTGTGGATGGGGATGTAAAACACCGACCTTTCAGACAGAAAAAGATTTGTTTCTGGGAGGATGACACACACACACACACACACACACACACATGCAAACTTTGCCACCGGGGGAAAAAACTCTTTGTTGTACATAGACCTATCTTTGCTTTCTGGTTTTTATAGAAAGATTTTTACATTTTATATTATATATATAATAAAAGGAACATTCCATACAAATTATATTTATATTATATTTATATCCCTTGACATGTACTTAACATTTTGATGTATCAGAACTTCATGATGTAAAAGATGTTGTGAATGAAGCTTGGCATTTATGAACATGCTAGATCGTTGTCTCAGAACTTGTGGATTTCTCCTGTATTGTCCTTTGAGCTGCCGTCACTCTGTGTCATGGATCACTTCTATTGGATCACCCATGGAGTGTGTGTATGTGTCATGGATCACTTCTATTGGATCACCCATGGAGGGTGTGTATGTGTCATGGGTCACCCATGGAGTGTGTGTATGTGTCATGGGTCACCCATGGAGTGTGTGTATGTGTCATGGGTCACCCATGGAGTGTGTATATGTGTCATGGATCACCCAAGGAGTGTGTGTATGTGTCATGGATCACCCATGGAGTGTGTATGTGTCATGGGTCACCCATGGAGTGTGTGTATGTGTCATGGATCACCCATGGAGTGTGTATGTGTCATGGGTCGCTTCTATTGGATCACCCATGGAGTGTGTGTATGTGTCATGGATCACCCATGGAGTGTGTGTTTGTGTCATGGGTCACCCATGGAGTGTGTGTATGTGTCATGTGTGTATGTGTCATGGATCACCCATGGAGTGTGTGTATGTGTCATGGGTCACCCATGGAGTGTGTGTATGTGTCATGGGTCACCCATGGAGTGTGTGTATGTGTCATCATGTCACGCTCATAACTGTGCCTGATCTACAACAGGGAACTGCTGCTTTTTCTTTCCTAATCCTCACTATTGTCATGTATCCTCAACTTCTTTTGTATGTTTGTCACTCTCTTGTGACCTGCTATTTTTGGGGTGCCTTGATAGTCGAAGCAGAACTTTGTTAAAGTAAGAAACATTTTTTTCCATCCCTTTCATGCGTGAATAGGATGTATGAACGTGAAAGTAGAGTATTTTCACGACAAGAATCATTACTGGGGAATCAAGTTTCAAACGCGTCGTACTCAGCTTACAGTTCATACAAATGGATGGGACCAGTCTTAAATTAACCCCTTGACTTTTCCTTTTCCACTACAAATCAACATTTTTGATCTATTTGTTTTTCATTTTTCTTACAATCAGAGACAACCCCCCCCCCCCACCAAAACAAGTGCCCCCCTTTAGTTGCATAAAATAGGACAAAAAAACCACGCTCCCCATCTATGTAAACCTCCCAGTTCATCAGTGGCATTCTCCGGATCTATTGACAAACCTCCCAGTTCATCAGTGGCATTCTCTGGATCTATTGACAAACCTCCCAGTTCATCAGTGGCATTCTCCGGATCTATTGACAACAAATAGAATTGGATTTCCATGCTCTCTCTCTCTCTACATATATATATATATATATGTGTGTGTGTGTGTGTGTGTGTGTGTACACTCTCTCTCTCTAAAACACAAAAATAGAATCACACAAAAGTACACATACAATCTGTATTCACAATGTCTCTTTCACATCATCCACTTTTACCGTTTCTTTCAGACCATCTACATATACCGTCTCTTTCATAACATCTATTTTCACACCTAAGTCTTTCACACAATCTATTTTCACACCTGCGTCTTTCACATCATCTATTTTCACACCTGTGTCTTTCACATCATCGACATTCCCACGTTCTCCGGAATCTTCCAGCCCCTCAGCACAAACATCGTCTTGCTGCGCTGTAGACACCAGACTCCCTTCTTCAACGTGTCCACAAGTGGGGTCATGATCAGCGCCGGTCTCTGCCATCTGATCATCAACACTGACCATCGTTCCGGAGTCCTGAATAAAAGTGACGGTGGCGGCCGGAGAGGTTTTGTCAGCGGTGACCGGCGGAGAGGTTTTGTCAGCGGTGACCGGCGGAGAGGTTTTGTCAGCGGGGGTGTGCGGGCGAGGCCCTTGCTGTAACTCCTGCAAGTTGTACTTGCGCAGACGCAGAAAGCCCGGCGCCACGGCCAGACAGCAGACGGTGCACACAATCTCCACCACTATGGCCACCTCGTACTCCGACCAGGAAAACTTCACGTCCGGGTTCATGTCTGTGACCAGGCGCGTCAGCGCGGGAATCACGCTAGCCTTGCCACATGTGCTTGTGTTGTTATTGCGAGTTTTGAACACGATGGTGTAAGACGCCGGGGTACTCGCCGAATCCCGAGAGAAGACGGCAGACAAACATTTGTCAGCGAGGCGCTCGATGTCTGCCGTGTGAGCTTTGCACGTGCCCACCACGGGGAGAATTCGGGCGGCGTAGCGCGCTCGCAGAACTCGTTTCTCAGCGATGTCTTCCATGATGGACTGAGCCACTTTGACGGGATCCTCCACGGTCGAGCGGATGAACACACAGTTTTTGGCCTTCGTCATACAGTTCTGAAAACGCCGCTCCTCCGCAGGAACCGTCTTTATTTCCTCCACCTCTTTCCTCAAAGCCTTTTCGACGTCTTCCTCTGAGTCGTCATCACTTGTATTCTCTACGTCTGCCACGACGTCGGGGCGAGAGCTGTCCGCCATTTTAGCCTGTGTAAAAATGTATCACATGATTGGTTTGAGTAAGAAGAAGCTCACTGACACTATATTTATCACATGATTGGTTTGAGTAAGAAGAAGCTCACTGACACTATATTTATCACATGATTGGTTTAAGTAAGAAGAAGCTCACTGACACTATATTTATCACATGATTGGTTTGAGTTAGAAGAAGGTCACTGACACTATATTTATCACATGATTGGTTTGAGTAAGAAGAAGCTCACTGACACTGACACTATATTTATCACATTTTTGGATTAAGTAAGAAGAAGCTCACTGACACTATTATGGCCATTCAGTCAGTGCAGGAAAAAGGAAAGACAGATAGAAGAAATAGAGAGAAAGACAAAAAGGAGAAGCTACCAGTGGTACCCTTCCCTTCAAGCATCCATGAATGGATGACAAATTGATCCAAGTGGATAGGTGGACCCCGGAGTCTATTAACTTAATTAAGCCAAATTGCAGATTTTGGAAAGGCAGACCCCTGACCAATGAAAAGCTGTCTGACATCGGCGTCTTGTTAGGGAAGGCACAAGGCTAGCTCAAGAGGAACAAAAATGTCCGACAGACTTGGTTTGACGTTAAATTGTAATTTTTGTCTAGATCACATTGCCTACTACACCAAGACTATTTTTAAACTTCATGACAGTCGGGCAAAATCATGTCTTCATTTCATAAATCCAAATCAAGGTGGGAAATCGTCACCTAGATACCGCATACAAGGTGGGAAATCGTCACCTAGATACCGCATACAAGGTGGGAAATCGTCACCTAGATACCGCATACAAGGTATTCTACTTGTTCTAATGTACTCAAAGACTGTTGTCTACCATAGTTGGCTTACATTTCCCTGCCCATAGATGCGATCGGCGTACTCGTTGAGGATGTTGTAACTCTCCCGAACTGCGCCGCTCTCGTTGTTGTTGCACATGACCAGGAAGCCCCGAAGCCCCGGCGCGAGGACATTCACGTCTGTTCTCGGACGCTTGCCCCCATGAGCACTCTTTCTGTAGAAGGCTTTGCTTCTCTTCTGGCCTTTTCCTTCAGCTGACATATTCCTGAGGAACTGGGCAGAACAAGAATGAATGAGAATACAACTGTCATCGCCCAAGTGCACTCTCTATAAGAGCCTGCTCCTACCATGGGACAAAGTTTTTTCTCTATAATTTGAAGCCCAAGTAAGAAGTCTAATCTAAAGCACGGTTTGGGCGCGGACGATAAACTTTTCTGAGCTGCTTTACCGTACTGTGACTTTGAGTGGGTTGGGGTAAAAGGAGAGCAGTAACGTGGACTCCTAGCGCCGGACAACTAAATCTGCTCACTACAGGCAGACCCATACTATGTTTTTGGGAAGTGCCTATTTGCAACGCCGCGTTGCGATTAGCGTCAGTGCTAAATAAAACGTCGCATTGTGATTGGCGCCAGTGCTAAATAAAACGCCGTGTAGCTTTATCTACCTTTCGTTGTTGGAAGTTCTGATGGCCGAAGGGACAGCACATCTGTGTTTGAAGCCAAACCATTATTTTATTAGCGTGGGTTCAAATCCTGGTCCTGGAAGTTTTTGTTTTTTTTGTCTTCTTCTCGACTGACAAAGAAATTTTTCCCATAATTATACATGATGTAACTTGTAGTGGTGAAGCATGCACATTCTGGTTTTGTCCCCAAGAGGAGCTCTGTACAAAGTAGGCCTTAGTATAGCCTATACTTTTCCTTACCAATTTAGGCCTGGTTAAAGTTCAATAGTGGCTTTCCTTGGTCTGTGAGTCTAATTTTTTTTTTTTTATTTTAGGCTCAGGAGAAAAAAAAACAACTTCCGGGACCGGGATTAGATGCCACATTTGGAAACACTGAACATTAGACTTAGAGAACGTAGACAGTAGACATCTTGTATACACGTTCTCTATGCCTAACTTAAAGATAATATTTTTAGGTAGGGCCTAGATCTATTGTATGACGACATTGCGGACAGGAAATACTGCTTACCGAGTTGCACCGTCTTGTTACTGTTATCAGTGGCGAAGCGTCAATATAATCAAATAATCACTGCTTCCCTTCCTAATTTTGAAACGTTGTAGCAGTCAAATTCACCCATAAACGTAAACCTTATAAATCAAATGTCAAAAGACGTTCATAACCAACAATGAACAATGGACTATGCCTAACATTCAAAACAGTTTCACTGCCACAGAAATAGCCTGCTCACCCCCCTTGGGCCACGCCATAAGCAGTCACAAGCTTTGATTAAATAAGCTTACAGTGGGGCTGGAAGAGTCTACCAGTAGAGTTGAAGGGAATACGTGCTGCATAGCAGTCAATTTAACTGTTCCATTGCCACATATACCCTGTTCACCCCTTTCGGGCCACAGTTATAATCAGTCTCAAGCACTGATTAGGTAAGCTAACTATTACACTGGTCAAGTCTACCTTACAGATGTGAGGGGAACTAGAGCTAACTCCTAATAATCTTTTTACTGCTGTGAGTGCTTGTTTTTTTTTCCTCGACTTTTTACCGTCCTATAATCAGATCGTGACCTCGATTATGACACTGGCTCCTGGCCGCGAAAAGCTAGACAAAAAACAGCCAAAAGTGAAATTTTAAAAAAAGATATTGTCATGTTCTACCAAAGAGTTAGACTCACTGGTAGATCTAGATCTATAACATATTATAGATCTAGTACTCACATCTCTGCTTCCTTGCTTTGGGTTTGTGTATTCACTTCTAAAGTTAAATTTAATTTTAGCCCGCTACTGAACTGTCAGAATAAATGTGTCACTGTACTGTAATTAATTCAATGTAAGCGTGTTTTTACGCCCCATCGACAAAATTTAAACGGAGTGCTTATTGCAGAGCTTCCAGCGCCTGATGTCATTTTTCGAGGATTTTCGGGTCCAGGGCAGAGCCCTGGCAGGAGGTTGAAGGGGGACAGCGTCCCCTTTCTGTTTGAGAATTTTTGGTTTCGGAGCATCCTAAGTATGCCATTTCTGGCTATTCAAGCCTAAATTTAACTAGAAAATAATTGATAAAAAAACATACCTAGCATAGGCCTACATAATTTTCTGCTTGTGTTAATCCATATATTTCCAAATCCAAAGCCATGCTTTCTCCCTTGTACAGATACTGTACATCCACAACTAGATCTATAAAACTTGACAGTTAATGTTTAACTTTTTTCGGCTTGTGTTGGTTTGCACCATAATCAGCATAAGGTGTAGAATTCTTACAATAATAGCTTTTTATATAACAGCTTGACTTGA